GATCTCAACAGGCGTATTTTCCCACGTATGAGATATATATATTCACGATTCTTGCAATAAAGTTCAAAGACTCAGAGCGAAGCTCTCTCACTCTTGTTCTGTCAGGCCGAGGATCGGTGTGCGGGCTTAGGGAAGTTTCCTTAACTTCATTCGTGCTAGTGGGTCTTCAAAGTTTAGCAGTCGGCTGCTTTTGCTTATCGTTACTAGGTGATGTGGTCCCTCCGCTGATCATCGTACCGCGCTGTGTCAAAAGGTATTGAAATAGACAGATATTTTTATTTCGAGTGCGGCATTCGTTGGATTTGCTTATTATTGTGTTCACTCACCCGCTGTCTAAACTATACTCGGTTTAACGAGAATTGGCGGGAAATATAAACAGCTGTTTCTTGCTATCAGAACAGGGCTAAAACGTAATATTCACATCCGTACACGGTATTGGAAAGAACTTATTTTCTAAGCGAAAATTGCTCGTTACATCAATGTCATATTATTGATTAAATATTATTAATATTATTACACAGCAGTGCATGTAAGGTGGAAAATGAAAGTACGAGTTAAGGCATGAAAACTATATTTCTACATTTAAGTGATCTACCTGTTACATATTTACAGTTTATTCTGGTTCTGTGTTTGAACTGTCAGAATTAAAATTAATTATAAACCGTTCGGTTAACGTATCAGCATCGTGGCCCAACTGCCACAACTTTTGTTCGATAACTTGAACAACGTGTTCAGCACAGTGTTTCTAATTTTCAATTGTATCATGTTCTGAAGATTCGTGTATTGAATTTGTTGTATCTGTAAATTTGGTAATTGTGTTATTTGTTGCAATACAATTTTTCATTTCTGCTCAAATAGGCAGGCAACCGACGCGCTTTTACATTTTTGTCTTCTGCTATTTCATCAATTGCATAGGTATTTGTAATACTTTGTTGATTTACAATTTGCAAAACTTCTGTTCGTCCCATATTTTCTTCAGAAGGAATTTGCTTTGTTTCCAATCACGGTTGAATATAACGTTTTCCCATTTTTTATTTGGAATTTTATCAATTTTTCGTGAATGGTATGGAGCAGGGGTTGGCAAACTTTTTTGGTCGCGGGTCAAAATCAACCAAAACGTGAGTATTAAAGAGACGTTTGGGTCAGAGATATTTTCGTACCAAAGCAATCTTTTAGTAAATAATAAGATATATTTTATTAAGAAAATAATTACATACATAGTTGAATGAACTTTATTTGTAAACGTTCTCTTCGATATCAATAGCTCCACTGATGTTGAACTTGTGACGTGAATTTAGTCAAGTCTGGTTTATAGTTAGTCGTTTTGAGACAAATACAAGCATCTGAATTTTCGTTACTTAACCTGTTCCTGTTCTTGCTTAATATAAATTTCATTTGTGAAAATATTTGCTCACCTTTATAAGTTTCACCGAATGTGGACAAAATGGCAAAGCCAATTTTCTTCAAGGATGAAAACTTCGTAGAAAGTGATACCCAACTTGTTGATACCATGAGGAGATGATTATCTTTTGTTTTTTCCGCAAATTCTTAAATCTTTCCGCAATTTCTTAAATTTATCCGTCTATAACGTTGAACTTTTAAAATCAATCATTTCTAAACTAAAATTGTTAATTTTTAGATACTGAAAATACTGCAAATTTAAAACATTTTCTTCTATTTCCTCCGGCTTTATTATAAATGTAAACATTCCTTCATGCTTCTTAAAACTTTGAAACCGACTTTCATATTCACGAAAATCCAACTTTCGAACATATTTACATTACTTTCATCGATATTTTCTTTTTCATGTTCCCTTTTTAACAAGGGAAAGAAATGAAATTTTTTAGTTTCTACGTGAGTTTCAAATAATATTAATTTTGAAGTAAAACTGTCCTATTCCTCATACATTTTCAGAATTGCGTGGTTATTTCCTTGGAGTTGTACGTTGTAATCATTATAATGGTTCATTATGTCTGTTAAGAACAAAAGTCTTAAAAACCATTGTTTATCATCGAGTTCGAGATTATTTTCACCGATTTCGTGAAGAAATATTTTTATATCATCAAAGCACTCTACAAATCTATTAAGAACTTTGCCTCGACTTAACCGTCATATTTCAGAATGTAACAACAAATCTCCATATTTCCATTCAATTTCCTCGAAAAAAGCTTTAAAGCGCTTGTATATTAGTGCTGATTGTGCTATTATCATCGTAAGCGATATTAACAACCTTTTCTATTACATCCTTAAGTCGTTGGATAGACGCCTTTCCAAATAAATTTTCTTCATCTATGATAGAATGAAACGATAAAAGTGAGCTGAAAGTTGAAAGTGCGATGAAAGTTCATTTTCCATTAGTTTTACAAATCCAATAATTTTTCCTCTCATACTTGGAGCACCATATAGTTGTTACGGAAAACAATTTACTTTTTAAATCCAATACTTGCCCATTTTTGAAATTTGTAAACTCTTATACTTCACGATAAATATCAGTGCCTTTGGTCGTGTCATTCGTTGAAGCAAGAACGCGTAGTTCTTCATTGACATTCGAGCAATTTATTGATGCAAATCTAATAATTATTGCAAGCCTACTAATACTATTTATATCGGTACTTTCATCAATTGCAATGCTAATTATGTCACAGGATAACAAATTGTTTTTGACCTGTTCATCGATATTTTTGGCCATATCTTCAACGCGACGCTGGACTGTTCTAGCTGACAATGGCATTTCTTTGATTCTCTCAATTATTTGCTTTTTATTTGCCAGGTCTTTAAATAAGTGTTCGAAACAATTTATGAATGCGTTTTTCAAAAACTCTCCGTCTGTAAATGGTTTTCCATTGGTACCAATGCTAAGAGATGCAACAAAGCTGGCAGATGTATCGTGATTGTTGCTGGTAACAAAACTCTTTAAGAATTTCTTTTCTTTTCCAAAATTTAATACACGTTTAGCAATGTATTCAGATTTATCTTCATTTGCCATTTCACTCGCATCTTTATGTTTTGAAAAAAAGTGCCGCTCAATATTATAAGTCCTGGCTGTAAATATAGCTGTACATAAAGTACATATAAATTTGTCACCATTTTCGATTCACTCATACTTTTCTGTTTACACATCTTGAAATAATCTCTTTTTTGCTTTTTCTTTGTTCATGGTAATTTTTTTTCAAATAATAATATTTATTTCACTTGGTAATCATTATTTAGCTGCGTAATTATAATTGCATCACTATTCTTGTGCTACTGAACATGTGCTATAACTATAACTGACACACAACTGAGAGAACGATACGCGCGTCCAATAATGGTAAAATCTGTTCGGACAATGTCGCTGTATTCCGCATACTATATTTCTGCTACTTTGTAATCGACATGGATCTTATATAGTTATATACAAAAACACTTATGTGTATAAGATCCATGGTAATCGAACTAAAATGTTCTTAGTTTCTATTTTCAATTTCTTTTATTCTCAAAATGTTTGTTTCATGTTTATGTTTTATAATTTATTTTTATATATTATACTTTATTTTCGGAACTAAAGTGGGTCACTTGAAATTATCAAATGGGTCGGTCGGTGACCCGCGGGTTATAATTTGCCGACCCCTGTTCTAATGTATTTATATAAACTACTGTACCTGAAATTCTTAATTCTATTATGTTGCATCTGTCTTTGGATACATTTATCTCGTTTTTTATATTGCACATCGCATGCGTGCATTACAATAATCTGTCATGAGATTCCCATGATTTCTAATGTATCGCGAAACGTTTGGTATTTAATAGAATCGAACACTTCAGCGACATCGACGAATACCAAGTACAGTGGCTTGAAATTTTGTCGGTGGTATCGTACCACCACATCTAGCCTGAAGATTCTCGACACATCCATCGAGTGGTAAAAAAGCTTTTTGTCTCGTATCGAGATCAACCATTTTTGTAAACTTACCACAATCTTGTGGTCAATTATAGTTAGAACCGAGGAGACTGAAATACGCTTGTAATTGTTAGATTCATGTGTCGCGTCTTGTGTGGGAATCAGTGCTGTTCTTGATTCCACGAGGCGTTTGAGTATTATCCTACATACAATAAATATATTCATAATTGTAATAACGTCGAAGGACACAGAGCGGTGCTCCCTTGCTCTTAATCCGTCCGACGCAGATGCAGTGTTCGCGTTTGAGAAAGATTCCTTGATCCCATTCGGGATAATAGGTTTCCAATGTTTGGCATTCGTGTCCTTTCTTCGCCAATACTAGGTGACGTGGTCCCTCCAACAGTGATCGCTGCGCGCCAGTAAGGTACTATAGTGTCTTAATCAAGGATTTAGGTACTTACTTCGTTCTTGAGGATTGCTCTATGACACTACAAGGATTTCAGCGTGATTTTCGAATGGGAATTGGCACAAAGTCTCATCGAGATCATGACGTAGCATCTCTCTGTATTCGGAAAGACACGCTCCATTTACGCGAACAAATTCCCTTCAGTAACTGCTTGGAATTTATCCCTTTGCTTTCATCGCTTCATGTCTCTTTGAGCGAAATGCTAATCGAGACAGTGCATACTGTCGCTCCGATGTCCGGAGCGCTGAGAATGCGAAACTCCTCGACCTTGGAAAGGGTTTGTCTAGGCCTCGCGTTCCTGAGTTTAAAGGACCTCGACTCTTCGTCGTAGTGCCTTATCACCGCTTTCCTGGCCCTGCGTATCCTCACCGCTGACGGCCGCCGTGAATCGGGTGCATTCCGCTGACCTGGAATGACCCCCTCACAGCACCCCCCTCCCCTCACCTCTGGCTCTGACGGAGTCACCTGCCGCTTTTTTGCTTTTGTATTTGAATTCATTACATATGCAAAGCTCGGAAACGTTTCGTCCATCATGGCACTCCCACCGCGGTGCGAGATCTTCTCTGGTTTAAGAAACCCTAGTTGCGGACACCAAAGACGAGAAGCGGTTTGTCGGTCCATCTACCCTGTCGGCGCCTAGTGGCTCTATAAAAAATTGTTACGAGATACGCTCGCGCCATAGATGATATTACAGATTTAACATTACCCCTATCGAAAGGGTCACACTTGATGCGAGCCGGTGTCTAATCCAGACTTCGGACTAGACGGTACAATGGTTTACCCCCATAGCTCGGAGTACGGGGATACGACTGACCAGGTCGATCAGCCATTCCTGCGCCCAAGGACCACGCTTCAACCCCCGTATAGGCTTTAGTTGCTGACTCCGCGGGCGATTTTACCATTACATGGCTTTTCTTTTCTGTTCGTTTATAAGTTTCTTTTTGCACTCGTACCCTCAACAAATGCCCAATCTACTAAACACAAAAAGAATATATATATATAATGCAATAAATTATATATATTATATATAAATGAATAAATAGGTAAATTGAAGTTAAATCCGGGGGACGGATGTAAAGGGCCTCATACCCCGGAGGGTGGCACCTCTCGCCAGGCAGCTGATAAAACGTATTTAGTATGTACAATGTATGTTGCACAAATATTGTATGAATAAATAAATAGATATATAGGTAATTACACATATACATACATAAATAAATACATAAATAAGCAAACAAACAAATAAATAAATAAATAAATGAGTAAGAAAGTAAACAAGTAATAAATAGTAAATAAATAAATAAATATGTATCTATAATAGCATATGTGTGTGTGTCATTCCATAAAAACATTTAAAATTAATATAGCTTGTGTTATTGTATAAAAAGGTATTCTAATGTCAGTTCTTAAAATAAAAGAGAAAGTTAATTATTCTTAAAATCGTCGTTGCAAGTCCTTCCGTATAAAAAAGGAGGACTTGTGTCATTGTATAGAAAAAGGTAATCTAAAGTCAATTCCTAAAATGTAGAGAAAGTAAGTTATTAAAATCATCGTTGCAGGTCTTTTTATATAAAAGGAAAATTTTAGATAGATAAATATATACCTAACGTCAATACATAAAAGATAAAATATAAATACAAACATAAACAGCTATAGATAATAAATAAAATAAATAATAAGAATGGTAAAATAATAAAATAATTATTTGCTGCCTGTGAGGTTATTCTAAAATACCACCCTTATGGCGGTTCGCGGAGCCTCCGAACACGCCCGGGGACATCGTAGTCTCAGAAGCTATGGTATATTTCGATCGAGGACCGGAGGGTGAGCAGTGACATCGTCAGAAGGGTTTTTCTGTTTTTTATATTTAGCTACTGCGGGGCCTCGATCGTTGCTTTCGGGTGTGCTCCCCGCGCACCTATTACTATAGGGAGCACGTCACCGATCGATGTCTCCATTTGACCCTTGAGGGTGGGCAGTAGTGGCGAGTATTTTTCCATTTTGTCCCGCATGCCATTCTCGAGGTAGTCCCCATTCTTGTGGTGGACTGTTACGTCGACCACGAAGAACCTTCCCTGGTGCTTTACCACCAGGTTCGGTTTGAGGACTATCCCGTTATTTTGTATCTTTGGTTCCTTGAGCACTACTGCCTCTTTGTTTCTTTTGGGAATTTCCACCATGACCAGTTCGACTATATCATCATGGCGGTGGATACGCTGCGCCTTAGTATGGGTGCACTGACCCAGGATGTGCGCCAATGTTTCTGCTGCTGCTTGGCCCTTTCGGCGCCGCGTATCCGTAGGGGGTGGCTCTGTTAATCGCAACCCTGCTCCCTGCGGTGTCGGTCCGGAGCTGCAGGGCTGTTAGAAATAGGGATGGTTTCAACAGGGTTGAATTATCCAGCCACGCATTTCCTATTCTGTCGTTCTTAAAATTGTGTACCGCCTACCCCTGAGCTGTGCACTCCCCACACATTTGAAGCTCTCGCTTTTTCATGTCTGCCTTCCATTTGTCGACCTGTTTGACCGACGTAACGGCCAATTAAGTCGGGCCGCCCTAGCCTGACTATGAAGTTTGGCTTCAAGGACCAATACCTTTGCCCGCACGAGAGCTTGAATGGCAAGGCCAGGGCTCCCCAAAAGGTCCCCGTCAAGAAGTCTTAGCGTTTTCACCGGCGACACTCCAGTGATCAGCTGGCAAAGATAATGTGGGACTAGGTGGGTGGAGAGAAAATTCACTTTCTGGTAGGGTTTCAACGCCAGCCTCTTTACCCGTTTAATGGCGCTTCCCATCTAAGCGCGTAGGTAGTAGAGATCACCGAGGTCTATCCCAGTCCAAGAATTAAGGGTTACTTCTAAGTATCTAATGCGTGTCTTCGCACTCGCAAACGGGACACTCTGTCTACCACTAAAAAGCAGCCCAGGATCTGTAAACGTAGTAAGAACCTCTTGTCGGCACCGCTCGGATGACTAAACATTTTGGTGCCGATAGAGACATACCCAGGGCGGTCAGGAATGTCTCTGTAATTACCAAGAGGTTCTCGGCCTCTGTTACATCGCGGACTACGAGTATTAGGTCTTCCGGGAAGGCCATACAGGATATATCTTGTTCCTCCGTAATCCTGTATCCTGGCTGCTTCTCCAACGCGAGGAGGAGTGGCTCCATAATTATGTTAAACAGCAGAGGTGATAAAGGGTCCCCCTGCTTTACCCCGCGATGAAGATGGACTGTGACAGTTGACCCACCGTACTGCATATTGGTGTGCACATCCTCATATGCCCGGCACACGAGCTGTACCACGTGCTCGTGTACCCCTTTCCGACGCAGTGCAGGCCCCAAGATATCATGGGGAACTGTGTCAAATGCTTTTGATATGTCCAGCAGCACTGCGACCAGGCCTTCTTGCTCTTTGCTCTGTGCAAGGATTTCGGCCAGGACGTGTACATTGTTATAGTACCCTATCTCCGATGTGAAACCCTTCTGACGAGGGGTGTCTCGCACCTGTGCCCTAAGCTTTGTGTCGATTATCTCCCAGTATAATCGACACAACAAGGAACTTATGGTAATGGGACGGTAGTTTTCGCAAGCGTTTGCGTCCTTCCCCTCCTTAGGGATTAATATGGTGCGGTTTCTCCTCCAA